GTCACAACTAAGACCCAATGCAGCCAAATAAGTAAATAAATATTAAAAAATTTTTTTAAAAAGAGACTTTTGCAGGCACTCAGGACACCATGTGCATGGCAGCAGATCACTGGAGCCCCCAACACAGACATTCTCAGCTGTGGTTCACACAAGTTGAAGCTGCACCCTCTGGTTTCACCTCTCATGCTATAAATATGTGTTCTTGTGATCTATCACATTCTTCTCGTTTTTGTGCCTTTTAAAACAGCCTCCACGTGTAGGGTTGAAGTACTGTCTAGTGTTTCTAAAGGCAAGAAGGCTAAAGTATTTCTTATGGAGAAAAATCTTTGATAAGCTTTGTCCAGGCATGATTTATAGAGCTGGCAGTTGTGAGTTACATGTTAAGGGATCAACAGTATCTATCAAATAATGTGTGTGCGTGTTAGTTGCTCAGTTGTGTCTGACTCTTTGCAACCCCACGGACTGTAGCCCACCAGGCTCCTCTGTCCATGGAATTCTCCAAGCAAGAATACTGGAGTGGGTTGCTGTTCCCTTCTCCAGAGGATCTTCCCAACCCAGGGATCGAACCCAGGGTTATCCAAGTAAGAAGTCTTTAGATAGAAAAATGATGCAACCAGGTGATGTGCAGGTCAGTGGATGAAAATGTGGGGACCAGAGGCTTGCAGGAACCTAACCCTGCATTTCCTCTGAAAGCAGTGGTTCAGGATTCACAAATTCAGTATTTGCTGTGACTTCATTCTATGGGTGACTGGGTATTCCTATACCTATGACACCCGTGAATACCGAGAATCCACTGTGTCTAAGCCCTGTCCTCTCTGGGAAGTTCTAGCTTCGAGTGTACAGTTTCCTGCTGGACATCTGGATGTTCCACAGTACTGCAAGTCCAACGTGTGTACAAATGGAGCTGTCATCTTTCTCATCCCCCTCCCCAGACCCCTGCCCTCCATGACTTCCTCATCCTGAGCCCCTTATCCCCAGAATAACACCATCTTCCTCAAAGCAAATATGCAGAAATCCTCCTGGAGTTTTCTCCTTCATGTTCTCCATCCAGTAAAGAAATCCTGACTCTCTCACCTCTGGATTCCCACCAGTCTTCTCCTTCCCTCTGTCACTAATTTACAGCCTCTCTTATTCTCTAACCTGAGGGATGACAAGTCTCCTAGGTGACCTCCTGTCCAAGTCTTTGCCACACCCCAACTCTGCTGAAAGGATACTTCTAAAAGCACCACTTAAAAAAAAAAAACTGCAGTATAGTTGCTGTAAAAAGTGAAAGTGAAGTGGAAGTGTCAGTTGCTTAGTCATATCTGACTCTTTGCGACCCCATGGACTGTAGCCCGCCAGGCTCTTCTGTCTGTGGGATTCTCCAGGCCAGAAGACTGGAATGGGTAGCCATTCCCTTCTCCAGGGCATCTTCCTGACCCAGGGATCGAACCTAGGTCTCCTGCATTGCAGGCAGATTCTTTACCGTTGGGTCACAAAGAGATGGGGAACATGAAGGAGAAAACTCCAGGACAATTTCCGCATTATATAAGGTGCACAAATGTACAACAGGGTGATTCAAGATTATAGTCCATGTATAGTTATAAAATACTAGCTCCATGAACTCGCCTGGTAGTCCAGTGACTAAGACTCTGTGCTCCCAATGCAGGGGGCCTAGGTTCAATCCCTGGTCAGGGAATCAGATCCCACATGCTATAAGTAGAGATCCTGCATGTCACAACCAAGATTGAAGATCCTGTGTGCCACAACTAAGACCTGGCGCAGCCCAATAAATGAATATTTGAATGTTAGCTGTTTCCCATGTTGTACAATACATCCTGTGGCTTATTTTTATACCTAAAAGTTTGTACCTCAGTCTCCTCCCCTTATCTTGCCTCTGCCCTCTCCCCTCTTCCCAGTGGTAACCACTAGTCTGTTCTCTGTATCCCATAAGCCTGTAGAAGTGCCAGGTTTAGTATGTACCCACTTATCTGCAGAATACACCATTTCTCTCTGAAGCTGCTTTGGCAGAACAACAGAATCTTAATTTCCCGCGCACCTCTCTCCTGTCTCTTCCTTTTCCCTTCTCCACACCTGCCATCAGAGATCCTTCTAAAATGTTAGTCACCTTGTGCCACCTTTCTGCTTCCATGCCTCTTCCTATCACGTCCACAGTTAAAGGTCAGAGAGTGCTACCCAGTCAGGCCCTCCACCACCTCTCTGATCTCACACCCTCATCATTCCACTCCAGTCACACCGGCTGTCCTGCTCCCCCTTCAGCCCACTGGACATGCTCTGGCCTCAGGACCTTTGCACCTACTTCCCACTCTGCTCAGAACTTCTCTCTTCTCTCAGGTAGCTGCCAGGATAAAGAATTCATAACACAAATGATTCTGCTAAAAGGTCACCTCCTTGGAGAGGCCTCTCCTGATATAAAATTTTATTATTTCCTCATATAAAATCACACCCTCGTCCTCAGCTTACTCTCTGCCTGTTGTCCTGTGTCTTCTTCCAGGACTCATCAACCACTGACACAGAGTGTTTCTGCAACCACATCTAGAAGCTTCTGTCCATATCTTCCCTGTGAAACGTGAGGATGAAGATGTGCTGTCCTTCATATCTGTGTCCTCATGCTCACCCCACTCTCGTTTCACAGGGAAGATACAGACAGAAGCCCTCAATGCAGGGGGCCTGGGTTCGACCCCTGGTCCAAGAACAAGATCTCGCATGCTGCACTAAGAATTTTCATGCTGCAGCTAAAGATTTGCATGCCACAATGAAGACTGAAGATTCCTCATGCCATAACTAAGACCCAGCGCAGCCAAGTAGATAAATATTAAAAAAAAAACCCTAACACTCAGTAAGTTACATGTGTAATAGCCATTAATGCCAAATAGATGGAATAGTTGCCAAAGCCATTTCATTTGATCAAATTAGTACATGATCATAAACAGGATTCGAACACAACAAACTTGCAGATGTGTTAACTAAAATCTCCAAATTGCTTTTACAAATGAAACAAAAATGTTGGTATTGATATAATTCTTGATATAATCCAAGTATGAAGGGATTTGGGGTTATAGCCATCATTTATGGAAGTTGTACTATGTTTAATCTTTCCAGTAATTCCACAAGGTAGCTAGTATCATCTCTTTCTCTCTCTTTTTGGGTTTAGATGAAGAAATGACACCATATCCGAGTCCCTGTGTCCTTGTCCTTTGAAATAAGACTTTTTTGATTTAGTCTCCCAGGCTTCCCTGAGTCTCAAAAATCTGACTTAAGAGTTAATGATTAGGCAAAATATGGGCAGAAGCTCTAAGTAGACATTTCTCCAAAGAAGACATAAAGATGGCCAAGAGGCACATGAAAGATGCTCAACATTAGTCATTATAAGAGTAATGCAGATCAAAACTATGATGAAGTATCAACTCACACCAGTCAAAATGGCTATCATCAAAAAACCCACAAGCAACAAATGCTGTGGAGGGTGTGGAGAGAAGGGAACCCTCCTACACTGTTGGTGGGGACGTAAATTGGTGCAGTCACTATGGAGAACGGCAAGGGGGTTCTTTTAAAAACTCATAATAGAGCTACCATGTGACCCTGCAATTCCGTTCCTGGACACATGTGGAGATAAACATAGTCCAAAAGAATACATGTGCCTCAATATTCATTGCAGCACTGCTTACAACAGCCAAGACATGGAAGCAACCTAAATGTCCATCCACAGAGGAACGGATAAAGAAGATGTGGTACATATATACAATGGAATATTACTCAGCCATTAAAAAGAATGAAATAACGCCATTCGCAGCAACATGGATGGACCTAGAGACTGTCATACTGAGTGTAGTGAGTCAGAGAAGGAGAAATATTGTATGACATCCCTTATATGTGGAATCTCAAGTGATACATACAAACTTATTTACAAAACAGACTCACAGACTTAGAGAACAAATTTATGGGTGCCAGGGGGAAGGATCGGGAGAAAGGATAGTTAGAGAGTTTGGGATTGACATGTACACACTGCTATATTTAAAATGGAAAGCCAACAAGGTCCTACTGTATAGCATGGGGAACTCTGCTCAATGTTATGTGGCAGCCTAGATAGGAGGGGAGTTTGGGAAAGAACAGATACATATATATTTATGGCTGAGTTCCTTTGCTTTCCACCTGAAACTATCACAACATTGTTTTTAAAAAAAGTTAATGACTGAGAAATGTGAAAATGTAGAAACAAAGAATAGCTGTTGGGCTGGGAAACTATTAACGATTTAGACTATAAAGCAGTCACATAGCAGAAACAACAAACTCCCAGTTCTTGAAAGATATAAAGGCCAGACACAAATTCCTAAATTGTTTTTACAGGAAGCAGATCCCCACCAGATGAAAACTGCTGAACAGAGAAGCTAGACTGGTTGAAACCAAAAGGCTGATGATGCTTGAGACTTCACCTTGTTGCCAACCAATCCTAGAACTGTGCACGAGCTGATCTCCCCTGCATCCCCCTCCCTCACACTGCCTTTAAAACCCCTTCCCTGAAGCCATCATGGAGTTCAGAGCATTTGAACATGAGCTGCCTGTTTTCCATGCTGCACTTTTCTTCACCACAACCCTGCATCAGTAGACTGGCTTTACTGCATGCAGGCAAGCAGAGCCAAGTTTGATTCAGTAACAGAAACTGAGCCTTAAAGATATTAATGACTTTGCTTGTGACAACACTGTGCAAAGCAAGGAGTTTTATTTAGAGTCTATACACACCAAAGCTCATGTTTGTGAAAACAGACACCATCCAAAACATTCATGCTGACAGCCTGTGGAATTTTTAACTTGAAAACTTTCAAAACAAATCCTTCCAACCATGAAATCACTAAGACAGTAGCAGTGGCTACTGGTGACACCTGTCTGTCTTGCCTATGTACTCTGACACACGGAATTATCATCTAGTCAGATCTGCTCACTAGTAGCCTCAGCAAAAAAGGTTTAAATGGCTTCAGCTCTTCAGCAATGGATACACTTACCTAAGCTTGACCTTGTGTTGGATCTTTCTATTATTGCATGCTTACTGGGATTGTTTAAGACAGAGCGTTTGGCCAGTGAGATGTCAGCGGTGACCCTTGTGATGGAAATCCTGTTGGTGAAAAAGCAACAGAAATCTGAGGTTATTCACTGAATAAAAGGGGACAGAAATGCATACCCCAAACTCATCCAAGTATGATACATGAAGTGAAGTGAAAGTTACTCAGTCGTGTGTGTCTGACTCTTTGCAACCTCATGGACTATACAGTCCATGGAATTCTCCAGGCCAGAATACTGGAGTGGGTAGCCTTTCCTTTCTCCAGCTGATCTTCCCAACCCAGGGATTGAACCCAGATCTTCTACATTGCGGGTGGATTCTTTTAGCAGCTGAGCCACAATATAGACCATATTTTCAACCAAGAAATGTTAGGGCACTTACTCATTCATTTTTCTCTTTAAACTTTTTATTTATTTTCTATGGGGGTATAGCTGATCATTCATTTTAATTCTGCACCTACCTAACTTAGCATGTATTGGTTGCTTACCATGTGCCAGGCATGCCCTCAGCATTATCTCATTACCGGGATTAACTCATTAAATCACTCTAAAAACTTCAGTGGAGAGGATATTCTCCCACTTTTGTTGATGCAAAAAAAATGAGTCATGGGTAGATGGTTTATCTAAGGCTATATTGTTCCTAAAAGTGATGAAGCTGCAATTTGAACCCAGAACTCCTGAGAGTTCTTAGCCTCTGTGCTGTAATCCCTCCTGTAAGTATGGTGCTGTGATCGGCATGAGGAATAAATAAGAACAAGACAAGATGTTCTCTAAGAGAGCCGAGCAGCAGAGATGGGTCATAAATAAGAAATTAATGAAGTATTACAGGTTAAGAGGACTGTTCTGAAGAAGACACAGAGGGTGTGGTGACAATCATGAGTTGAGGAGTGGGGGAGTCATCTCAAAAAGGGTAGACATGAGAACAACAAAAGGTGGGAGCTGGGCAGAGTAAATGACTTAGGTTGGAGACTGGGCTGAACAAACAGGCCAGCGGTAGGGAAAATGTGGAGTAAAATAGCTCATAAGACCTCTGAAGAAGAAGGTGAAGGGGGCACTAAAAATAAGAGATTTGGTTAAAAGTCTGTTCCATAGTTAGATCTCTCCACCTCCGCTTTATTACATCAAGCCATGAGATGGCCATCCTTTCCCTGTGTGGTGTAAGACCACTGACTGGTCTAGTCTCTCCAGGAAGTAAAATAGGGTGTCTGAGCAGGGGGTTCTGCACAGAACAGGGACAGAGAGAAGAAAAGGATTCTAAATGTTGAGCCCCCAGTCCTCCTGCTCATCCTAGAATTTTGGTTCAGTCCAGTTCAGTCGCTCAGTTGTGTCCGACTCTTTGCGACCCCATGAATCGCAGCACGCCAGGCCTCCCTGTCCATCACCAACTCCCGGAGTCCACTCAAACTTATGTCCACCGAGTCAGTGATACCATTCAGCCATCTCATCCTCTGTCATCCCCTTCTCCTCCTGCCCCCAATCCCTCCCAGCATCAGGGTCTTTTCCAATGAGTNGGTATGCATATAGGACCTGCATACAGGAGGCAGGTAAGGTGGTCTGGTATTCCCATCTCTTCAACAATTTTCCACAGTTTGTTGTGATCCACACAGTCAAAGGCTTTGGCATAGTCAATAAAGCAGAAGTAGACATTTTTCTGGAATCCTCTTGCTTTTTCTATGATCCAACGGATGTTGGCAATTTGATCTCTTGATTCCTCTGCCTTTTCTAAAACCAGCTTGAACATCTGGAAGTTCACGGTTCACGTACTGCTGAAGCCTAGCTTGGAGAATTTTGAGCATTACTTTACCAGCGTGTGAGATGAGTGCAATTGTGCGGTAGTTTGAGCATTCTTTGGGAGTGCCTTTCTTAGGGACTGGAATGAAAACTGACCTTTTCCAGTCCTATGGCCACTGCTGAGTTTTCCAAATTTGCTGGCGTATTGAGTGCAGCACTTTCACAGCATCATCTTTCAGGATTTGCAATAGCTCAACTGGAATTCCATCACATCCACTAGCTTCGTTCATAGTAATGCTTTCTAAGGCCCACTTGACTTCACATAGGTTATATCCCCTAGGTGTCAGGATGGACGATTCTTCTCTGGGGGAATCTGACCAACAAATAGAAAAGAACCAAAGAACAGGCTTTGGTGGTTTCCATGGAGACTGCCTAGTGGGGCTGTCCTACAGGAAACATTGTGTCTTATGAGCACAGAATCTCCAGTTGATTCTTTGATGTTCTGTTATTATACCTGAGCACACCAGTGGTCCCTGGGCATCTCAGGAGAACTCCTCACATTAGAGACCAAGACAACCAGAAAAACCACCTATGACTAACGCCCAAAGCTGAATGCTAAGAGATGATTATACCTATGAAACTAGAACAAAATTCTATTTAAAGACTCAGAAAGAGTTTTTAAAAATTAAAAATATAACCGTAGAAACGAAAATTCAAAAGAGGGGCTGGAAGACCAAGTTAAGGAGATCTTTTAAACAGTAAAACTGAAAAGTCAAAGAGATGGAAAATAGGAGAACAAAGGCATAAAAACTAGAGAATTACCCAGGAGGTTCAACTTCCAATAATAAGAGTTCCAGGAAAAACAACAAGGAAAACACAAGAGAGGAAAGTAAAAAAAAAAAATTAGAATTAAGAGTCTGATTTTCCAAATGGAAAGGGGGAGTCCAGCAGAAAGGTTGAAACTTCCACGTCAAGACATATTCTTGTAGATGTAATGACACTGGGGACAAAGAAAAGCTTAAAAGCTTCCAGAGGAAAAGGCAGGTCCCATACAAAGGGTCAGGAATGGAAATGCTTGTTCTTCTCAACAGCAACAACAGTTGACACCACACTGTAAATCAACTATACTTCAATAAAAAATATTAAGATTGGAACCCCTCCCCCCCAACAACAAAAAAAAAACCACCAAAAAACACAGTAACAATGGAGACAGAAGGCAATCGAGCAAAAATCCTTACAAATTCTGGGGGCGGGGCGGGGGGGGGGCATCAGGGAATTATTACAATCAGAATTCCATAACCATTTAAACCATGTATCAGTTAAACAGGAGGGCTGATTAAAGGCATTTTAAAGACACTCAGGGTCTCAAAAAGTTTTAATGTCCTCTTTCTAAAGAAACTGTCAGAGGATATTCTTGACAAAAATGATGGAAGTAAATCTTGACAGAGATCAGCTGATCTAGGGAAAAGGGGTTCACACCCCAAAAAGGTGATGACAGGCATAATGAGGAGAGATGTCTTATAGTGACTATATGCACTCAACTCAGAGACAAACCATCCAAACTGGGGCAGGACAGGACATTCCTGGAGAGAAGTTCAGGAAGACACAGTTCAGGGACATGTGGATGTGTATGAGTGTATTGTGAGGAACTTGAAACAACCAGGGGAAGAGTGTGGGGCTGGACTGGCACCAACTATATAGAAAGTTAAGCATGTGTAAAAAGCAAAATTATTAATCTCATAGATGCCACAAAGGAAACACATCAGAAAAAGTAATGCGAATATATGACATGGCTCATTGAAATCTTATTTACATGGTCATAATGCATCTGAAATATAGAACCAGCCAAAATTAAGAAGTAACTGTTGGGAGATTGAAGGATGAGGTGGATGCAGGTGTGTAGATGTGAGAGACACAAACAGGAGGAATATGCATGAGGCAGCTAAACAGTCTTCATCGTAGGAAGTCCAGAGAGAATGCCTAACAGTGAATGAAGCATGTGATTTAGAGGAAAGAAGTAAAGACCGAAAGATACAACTGAAAGAGTTAAAAGTGGTTGCCTCTGGAGAGCAGGACATTCAGTAAAGTGTGGAAAGGGAATTACTGGCTTTTGCAAAAAAACAAAACAAAACAAAACCTGTTGATTTATATACTGTATCCTTTACTGTGTGTAGTTTCCTGAATTTGGACCAATTCATAGAGTTCTGTCTCCACCATCACATTCATGACAGGGAACAGTTTCGTTAGCTTCCCGACCCCACCCCTGTCGATCATGGGCTGTTTTCTGTCCCTGTGGTTTTGCCTTTTCCAGAACATCACTGTGACCTCTTGAGCTGAGCTTCTTTCACTCTGCATAAGGGATCTGAGATTCATCCATGATGTTGTATCAATAGTTCATTTTTTTTTATTGTGGGGTAGGACTCCTATTTACAAAAATTAAGTCTATTTGATTAAGTTTTTTGTACTATGAGGACAATTTTACTTTACATGGAAAAAGCGATAACCAGAAAAGCAATATTAAACCCAGCCACTTAAACACAGTTTCATTTTGACTTCCCAAGGCATTCACAAGTGAGTTCAGATGACAGGTGTTCAGCAACTGTTTAAAAATGTCTTTATTTATTTGGGGGTGGGGGTGGTAGAGTGGGGTGATGTATCGCTAATCCTTTCATGTTGAGTGCCTGTATGGCATGGAGGGTATTGGTCATTCCACGCAGACTTATGAAGTGCCTACTAGGTGCAAATCTTCATTCAGAGCACTGTTATGGAACTCAAATTCTTGTGGGGTGGAGGGAGGCAGGAATATAGACAAAGACATGTCTGATGTTGGGTGGCATTAAATGCCAGTGCAGGACAAAGTAATGAAATTGGGTCATTTGTAGAGATGTTGACGGACTTAGAGTCTATCATACAAAGTGAAGGAAGTCAGAAAGAGAAAAACAAATATTGCATATTAAAGCATGTATGTGGAATATAGAAAAAAGTACAGATGAACCTAGTTGCAGGGCAGGAACAGAGACACAGATGTAGAGAATGGATGTGTGGACACGGGGGGAATGGGAGGGTGGGATGAATTGGGAGATTAGGTTTGACATAAATAAACCATGTGGAAAATAGAGAGCTAGAGGGAAGCTGCTCCATAGCACAAGGAGCTCAGCTCAGGGCTCTGTGATGACCTGAGGGGTGGGGTGGGGGGCAGGCTCAGAAGGGAGCACACACACACACACACACACACACACACACAACTGATTCATGCTGTTGTACAGCAGAAAGGAACACAAGATTGTAAAGCAAGTATCCTTCAATAAAAGCATTATGCATGAC